TCCCCTCTCGACTGGTATGGCTTTGTGATTTTCGTGTATTTTAATTATGTGTACTGTTATTTATGTTCCCTTTCCCCCCTGAGTTGTTCACCGCCCTGAGTCCCTCCTGGAGAAGGGCGGCATACAAATAAATCAAAACCAAACCAAACACTCCACTCCATTCCAATTCCCAGGCAACATGGAAAACACTGATCTGGATGAATTTGACTTCATGTGCTACTATATGTCCTTTGTCTCTTCACTACGTTGCCTGCCCCACAGAGCTTTTCTTAATGAAATGAGAATGTTCCCTCTTTACAAAGAAAAAAAAGCAAACTTCTTTGCATCAACTCATATGTTCTCCCTCCCCTCATTTTATTTTATTTTTAAATCACAGAGTTTAAGTCCTTTTGTTTAAGTCTTCCACCCCTATCTCCCATTTCCTCCTATCGGAGTAAGGTAAGTCAAAGCTTTTATAACTCTGATAATTAGAAATCTCAATGGTATGGTTTCATTAAAAACTTTCATTAAACAACATCTGCCCTTGCATAGGTTCTCATAATCAATTTGGTCAAACAGAAGGGCTTCTAATCGGCTGTTGATAAAAATAGAAGATGAAATTTTAATTCTAATAGATTAACCGCAAACTCAAGATAGTCTTCAAAATCCATCTCGCTGTATTCTCCAGTGGATTTAACGACTATTCAGCAACTCATTACTAAATAGAACAAGATGAACATTTTCCAGTTCATTAAAGAAATGTACTATGTATTTTCGCATTGTCCTCATGATTCGTTACAAGGGGTCTTAATTACAAGATAATGGATAATGGTTATTAAATGCAAGCTCCAGTAATGAAGCTCTATTCATTTGCAAGCCTCGGAGACCGCAAAGAGGGGAAAATAAAATTACTAGCTTCAAAAGATTAACGGATCAAATTATTATTCAATTTTGAAAAACTCTTTCAGACTTTGCCGAAACAAGAAAGGGTTTTTTTTTTAAATAGTAGTATTAGGATTATAGTGAAACACTTATTTTTAAAAATAAAATAATATCTTAAGGCTATTAGCAGACTAATCGGCTTCGGATGTGATTATCAAAATACAGCCAATTTAGCAGCATCTTCTAACAATGAAAACAATGCACTATTTTACTTTATGGACAAATTCTATTTATGATTCAGGAGAGAGTTTGCTAGCAGGATGCTATAAAGAACTCAGAAGATGGATGCGGGCATGGAGCTTTATAATGTAAAGGTATTATTAACATTTTATATTTCTCTAATGAAAACAGGGAGAGGGAGAGAAACGGGAGCTTCGCTGTTAAAATGGAGGCTCTTAAACATATTTCATATTACCTTTATAAATAAGGTACTTTTACTGCATTCAGTTTTGATCACCATGATGTAAGAAAGATGTTGGGACTCTAGAAAGAGTGCAGAGAAGAGCAACAGAGATGATTAGGGAACTGGAGGCTAAAATATATGAAGAACAGTTGCAGGAACTGGGTATGTCTAGTTTAATGAAAAGAAGGACCAGGGGAGACATGATAGCAGTGTTCCAATATCTCAGGGGCTGCCACAAAGAAGAGGGAGTCAAACTATTCTCCAAGGCACCTGAAGGCAGGACAAGAAGCTATGGGTGGAAACTAATCAAGGAGAGAAGTAACCTAGAACTAAAGAGAAATTTTCTGACAGTTAGAACAATTAATCAATGGAACAACTTGACTCTAAAAGTTTTGAATGCTCCAACACTGGAAATTTTAAAGAAGATGTTGGATAACTATTTGTCTGAAATGGTATAGGGTTTCCTGTCTAGGCAGGGAGTTGGACTAGAAGACCTCCAAGGTCCCTTCCAATTCTGTTATTCTATTCTATTCTATTCTATTCCATTCCATTCTAAAGTGAGATGGGAAGAAGTAGCCAAATCTCTCTTTAATGAAGGTATTTCTGGCTGTATAATTCACCTCTCCATGCCCCCCCCCCTTTTGTTTTCTCAGATCGGTAAGACAAAAAAAGAACGAAGTTCAGGCAAAGAAGAAAGGCTCGCCGTTTGATTTCAGTGTGCGAAGCAGCTGTGATGAGCAGCAACAGGAATTCTAGGCATCAAGAGCAAAAGTCAAGTTTGGGAACAACATCAAATGAAACCGGACTTGTGTTGAGTTTCAGAACAATCAAGGATGATTCAAAGTCAGGGCACATAATAAGGTGCTTTTTCGAGAACAAAAACTCTACTTTGCATCACGTTGCAGGAAGTTAGCACCCCCCCCCTTTCTCTTAGAAAAATGCAATATTTTAGGAAATATTAAAAGGACAGAATATTTCCCCTAAAAGGGAGGCAGAAACTCAGCCCCCCACCCATCTTTGTCAATGGGCCATTAAGTCCTGAGCAAGTCTATTCTACATAACAAGGATCTACCTCCTTCAGGCAGAGCCATAGTAGGAATTGCCCAAAGCCCTTTCATTATCATCACCCAGCAAGGCTCAACCAAGCTTGGGACTCAGGACAGCCTACTGAGTTGCCCCTGCATGGCCCCATGGGAGTCTGACAACCAATCAGATTACAAGCTCAAATTCAAAAGCCCAGGAAGGGCATAAAACCAGGTGGGGAGGGAATGGGGATTTTGCAGTATCCTTCCCCATCCCCTGCCCACCTTTCTTATTTTTTACAAATAACTCAAGGCAGTGAACATACCCAACAATTTTTCCTCCTTCTATTTTCTAAACAACAACCCTGTGAGGTGAGTTGGACTGAGAAAGGGGGGGGGGATTGGCCCAAAGTCACCCGGCTTGTTTTCATGGCCATGGCTGGACTGGAATTCATGGTCTCCCGTTTTCTAGCCTGGTGCCTTAACAATATAACAACATTCCTAGAACAAGTGATAAAAGCTGCCAGAACATATGATAGGAAAGATCAGAAGTAAATGCTACTTCTGAATACTGTACCCCAACCAAAGCGGAGTTGCTTTTTTGGAAATCAGTGGATTTTGGAAATCAGTGGACCAGAAATAACAACAGAA